GATTACTTAAGTAGAATTTCTTTCAGTGTGTCTTCCTTATAGTTGTTGTATTCTATAGTAAGTCAATAATATCACTGCGCCTCTTTGCAAATTCATGATGGAGAATGTGTTAAAGTGCTTGATTTCATGAAGTCAGATTTATTTATGTAATTGCAATAGAGTTAAGTTCTTCTTTTTATGAAAACCAAGTTGTGGTGATATGTTTGAGGTTTGGTTACTTCTGTCAACGTACATGAATGAAGTTGTGTGATTTTGGCTTGAGTTTAGTAACATAAATGATGAATTCATTATTAATTATTGACAGTTTGAGCATTTTAATCAAATTGGAAAAAAGTGTTTTAAAGGCTATTAAAAAGTAATCTGAACAATAGCCGTAACTTAGATCCTATATATATCCAATATATACTTGTATTTAATATTGGCTCACTTGTATATCCCAGTAATAAGACTTATGTTAGCAAGGTTAAATAATGAAACTCGGACTTTATAAGTTTCAGTAGCAGTCGAGATCTCCAGCATGTTCAAAACTATTTTGCTAATTCTTATACAAAACTGTAGTTAATTTAATATTTTTATAATCACCGAAATTACTTTTAATTAAGTCTGACATACTCTTTCTTTTATGTCCTAAAACGATTCTTCTTGTCAATTTCTTAATATATAAAAATAAGAAAAGTTATGGAGTAGCTCAACAAACAAACAAGTTAACCCGTTGTATTATCTTCTTATGATAAATAATGATTGGGTTTATACACAACTAGTAAATTTAATATTGACCTATCAGTTTTAAACCAAAAAATGTATGTTCACTCATCACATGGTAAAGGGAGAGTATTTTCCTCATAAACAACCAATATTTCAATGTATATTTGCTAGTTTAGTAAAGTGTTCATTTTGTCTATTTCAAGAAACTATATCAAATAATTTAGTAATCAGTAGTATAACATTCTAAATTTAATCATTGATTGACAGTAATTGATGGTACATTGTGTACTGAATAATGTTATCTTGATAAGAAAAAAAGAAAGATTATTACAGTTTTACATAATCATCTTGATTGTTGAAGCTTCCAAATTAGTATGTATCACAGTCATAAAACTATAATATTGACTTTGTTAAAAAGATTTAGTTTGATGATATACATGTAAATTCATCAAGATTGAAATTTAATATTTTAAATGTTTTAAATTCAAAGAACAAAACTTCAACGAAATCATCCAGCTGAGCTACAAATCTTCTACATCATCTCATAAGTCAAACATCTTAGACATTAACATTATCTACAATGATGTTATATTAATTAACATGTTTCATGAGCTTGGTTTTTGACATATTTGTCAATTACTGTAGCTTATATAAAATGGAAGTAACATTGTTACAGTAAATATTCAGTCCCATAAAGTATATACAATTATTTCTTGTTAAACATTGAAGTATATACAAACTGAAGTACATAGTTAGTGCTTTCCAGTTTTGTGGTGATTATATCTTGTGAAACTATCTAACATTAAGTTAATATACATCTAGGTGACGTTCAGGTAATTTCTTATTTCAGTAATGTATTTTTTTAATTATTGTGTTATACTGTAGTTCTCTGTAATCCACAAATTAATATACAAGGTCAATAGCCATCTAGTGACCAATTAAATTGATAGAATGCTGGAGTTGTTGCCTATTTTCTAATGTTTGTGAACTATATACAAATATTTGATTTAAGAAAACACTGTTGACCTTAGCAAAATAAATAAACTAAAGAGAGTATTTCCTTACTAGCGTACACGGTCGTATTTCACTACATTGCTGTTAAATCTATCTGTTACGTATAGTATTATGAAAGTTTTCAGAAAAGCGGCTTGACTTTTATACACTATTTTCAAAACTTTACGTGCTAAGAGTGAACATTGAAATACTCTGATGAGTTTTAGTTCCGAAATTTTGTCTTCTATTAAATTTTCTTCCTTTATTTTCTCAACGAACGTTTAGTTTATTAATCAGTTTAGGGTTGTGTAGATTGTTGAGTTTTGATTAAGATCATAAATTGATCAGTGTTAGACCATTATTGGAAACATGTAAGCGCGGTATTGCTCGTAGATTGGTTGAAGTTAGGCATTAACACCGTTAAATGCCGGCTCATTCGTCTAGAGGTTCGCGCATGAAATTGAAGATCATAAGTTTGAAACTCAAGTTCGGAATTGTGTATACGCGCTGCCGAAGAGTTCCATACTAGGACAAAACGGCCGTTTAATTTAGTTACTGGTATTGACTACTACGCGTATCAGTCAAAATGTAAATTATTTTAATACAATAAAAAGGAAGTTTCATTAATTAGGCACATTGTAAAACTAAAAAATAAAAACTTTAGGATTTACAATTGAATACAAGCTTTTATCGGAAATCGATTCTACAAATCTTGGTAACAAAAGTGGTGTGTTTTATCATGTTACGTTCTAATGTGTTCTCAGTACGTGCGGTGATCGAAATAAAATAGTCTCATATTTTTTAAATGTTGAAAATGAAAAGAGCGTTTAGAAAAAATGAGATTTAGGCAATCAATATCTAGTGAAATGGCTAAATTTGTTGCTAAGGAATGAATATTTAATTATTCAGTAATACAACTTCCTATCTTTCAATAATTAATATGATATCAATTTCCTTGAAATAGCATACACATTAGGATGACTGGTAAAGTTTAACAAACCACAGGCTGGTAACAACACTCAGATTATTTCAAACTAGAGATAACTTAACACATATCGCAGTGATTGTTTTTTCACAATAGCCAGAAAGCAACACATATTGATTAACAGTGATTTCTAATAGTATGGATATAATGATATTTACTTATATATTGATAAGTATCTTATATAGGGGATTGAAGATAACTACAGAAATGTATATAGCACCAGTAAAATATCCAAGAAATTCAGTTAAGTTTTCACTAAGCATATACCATTGACTGGCAAATGTTTAGTTCGATATCTGACTTACCTATTAATTAACAGTGTTTTATATCATATTAAATTGGTTGACTTTTCAAAATTTTATCTTGAAAATGTGTGTCATCTACAAATCGCATCTTTGTTTTTGCATTAGTGTATTTCAATAGTTGAATCCATGACTCAATCTAAGCTAGACCATCACCGAAGACCTGGAAGCACTGGACGGCCGTTTTGTCCTAATATGGGACTCCTCAGCAGTGCATATTCACATTTTAGTACATTTAAATCATTGAATAGAACTTTAAACACAATTAACTGTTTTGTTTCAATAATCTAGTAATTGGATACCCAGTTTCATGTGACTTCAAAGATTTACTTTTATAGTGTTTACTGAAAAATTTAATCAATGAATACAATTTAACAGAAAAAGCTAATTTAGAATGAACTAGCTTAAATCATGTATAATGAAACCAATCATTTTGACTGCAGAAAAACTACATTTAGGAGTAATCACTTTTCAACTAATTTGGGCTAATAAATAATGTATCACGTTTTTGAATAATTAGTGCTGAAAATGACGATTGAAAATACGATCTTTTAAAATCTCAAGATTATTCACATTAGTAACATAAGTAAGAATGACCGAAATAGTTAAAGATGGTTAAACATTTTAGTCTAAAATTACTGATATTTAATAATGATACTAACCTCGTCCGGACGGTCTGCATGAATATCTAGGCCACCTGTCCCTATCATCTAGATATTTCAATATATTGTTTGTTTACCTGTTTGTTTAAACAGATCATTATGTCAATTCATTGCATAAACTATTTAAGTGCTTTTGTGAAATGTTTACAACGTTTAGCTGTACAAGTTACAAAAAATGTACAATAGGAGACATTGTGATGTCTGGTAATATAAGATTGAAAAGAATGAATATTATTCAGATGTTGACTTTTGAAATGGTAATATATAAGTGGAGATCACTCAATATTTATTGTCAATATTGATCAAGAAATAAGAAACGAAAACTCGCCGAAATACATTGTGCTGAGAATTCTATATTGTACCAAAAGTGTAATATTGAATAAAGTTAGTAATAGTGATAATAATAATTGGCACACTTTATACAAGTTTTGTTAATCAAGGAGATGTTCCATTTTGAAATTTAAAGTTCAACTGCATTGATGCTATTAAATGGAACTAAAGATTAGTTTTCACGAAAAAGGTTTCCATTTAAGGTTTCAGTGAAGACAATATGTGTATATTATAGTATTGTTTGAAAATTATTTGAAGCATCTGTTATTCTGTACTCACTTGATTTTTAATACCTGTGTAACTGATATTCTGTTTTCAAACTTTATCAGTGTTTGCTACATTTAACCCTGTTCACAACTATACTCACAGATTTCGTAATATTAAAGATAATTTATTATTCTTTACGTTTTAGTGTACATTTTGCTCATTCACCGTATTAGAAAATAAACTAAATTCAGTCATTTCCAGTCTGTATTCTATTTATACTTAGATGTTGTACATTTTTGTTGAGGTATCCAATTTCCTTATTTTTAGGAAGCCGCTATAGAAACTTGTGGGGAATTGTTTTGGGGAAAGGGCACAAAAACCCCAAAATTCCACCAAAATAAGGAGATTGGGTAATAATAAGTAAGAATTTTGTACTGGTTTTATGACAAGTGTTATATTTTACGTGAATGATAAAATAAGGGAAACTGCTTCCTTATAAAAAAAAGAACAATTAATATCTTAAATTAACAATAAAACATGATCAGGAATTATCAGAAGGGGTTTTGTGGAGATTTTTAGAAATTTCACTGATCGAAATCATGATTCAATTGAAGCTAGACCACCATGGAAAACATGGAAGCACTGGAGTCTCATACTAAGACGAAACGGCCATCCACTGCTTCCAGGTTTTCCATAGTGGTCTAACATTAATTGACTCATGATTTCAATCAGTAAAATTATTAGAAATACCAATAACTATAAATAATTTACTACAAAAAAAGTGTTGATTCATTAAATTAAATTATTCAAACTTACAAAGTACTCCAACAACAAAAAATCCTGATAAAAATAATGTAGCTGCTTGACGACAAGTAGGTGATATCTCCATTGTAATATGATATAATCCATAAATTAATTCATCTATAGATGCAGTTGTTTGCATAGGTTTATCTAATTTCATCTCATTACTACTACTACTACTAGTAGTATTATTACTATTATCAACAGTATCAGTTGTGGTGATATTAGTATTGTTTGACATGATTATTTGTAAGTGGACAATGTTTTAATATTAGTATAATTATTATTTAAGAACAAAATATTCTAATTAATTTCAACATTACTAATTATCTCTATATTCTTCTTTTAATGTTATATCTAGTGTATTATGAATATGAAATACATCGAATTCAATCTTCTATCATTATTGGTTGAAATGATTATTGATAAAAATCAGTGAAATTATAGGTCAGTTAAAATGTTTATTACAAATGAATTTCTAATATTTAAATCTGGTCATAATTCTTTTTTTTAAAAATTTCTTTTACCATCTTCCATAGATCATTTGTGTCCAGTTACCCCCTATTCAATGGATTTTATATGTTTTTAAATGTATACGTTGTGTGTATGTTAGAAGTAAAGGTTTTTTTTTGCAATCCTATTTGTTACACTATTTTGATTCGTAATTTTTATATAAATAGACATTTCAAATCACGATACTTTATTGGTTAACTATCTGATTTTTATCTTTTATTTTGTTTCTAAATTAGATACGGTTGATTTTAATAAACCAGTGGAATGTTGAAGAAGTTCATTTAAGTATGAAATCCTCATGATTCTATAAAACCTACTTGAAGTGTACTGAATATCATTTACTATTATATATACATATGCTTGTAAAATACCTATATCAGAGTACTATTTTGGTGCTTACAGTCATTCGGTTTGCATAATCTCAATTTTGGAGATTTTTAGATATTTCACTAGGTGAAATCATAAGTCAATTGAAGCTAGATCACTATGGAAAACCTGGAAGCACTGGATGGCCGTTTTTTCCTAGTATGGGACTCCTTATTAGTGCGCTTCCACGATCCCAACCCCGCAAGATTCGAACACAGGACCTATCAGTCTTGAACGCGAGTGCTTAACCATTAGACCACTGAACCGGCATTCAACGGTGTGAATGTCTAACTTCAACCAATCCATGAAATTGCGCCACCGTCCACCATTGTCTTCAGCGAGTTGATATCTCATAGCAGACCTTGTTAAACTCCACTTATCACTGCTTCTCACTAGAACTCTAGGAATTACCTCTTGAAGTCAGTCATTAGTAAGCAGATGGGGTTTTGTGGAGATTTTTAGAAATTTCACTAGTTGAAATTATTCTATTTGCCATCATATGTATTTCAAAAGCATTGGTTCGATTTGTTGGTATAAAACTATATGAAATCATTTGATTATTGTTTAAAATAATTAACTAAAGTTTTAATCTAATGTACGAACTTGTTAAGTCAATCGAAATATGAACCATTGGATAAAAGGTTTAGTACATCATGAAGCAGTGCATTACTAGTTTATAATATTGTAATGGTTAGTAAACGTGTTCACAGATATTCGCTGTTATATGGTTTGGAATATCAACAAAAATGATAGAGGTTTACTTGAGTTATTTATTATTCCTTGAGTTCTATAGATTGATAAGAGCTTTTATTTATTTCTGACGACTAGTAATATAAGTGATGATTCAATGTTTATTAATTAGTAAATTAGTTGAGGAGATTTACTTGCTTTAATAGTTACCGAATGGCATCTAAGAGCTCGTCATTTATGTATTGTTCACGTTATTAGTTTATGGTTTTATATTTAAAGTAGTGTACTGTATTAACACTAAACTTTGAGGGTTATACTATCTTCTGAATACATGATCGATGTATAACATATAATTTCACAAATTTATTACGGAGATAAATTAACCGGGATGTGAAACTTAGCAGGATTGAAGTTAATTTTTATGATTATTCTATCAAGCTCAAGGTTTCAATACTAGTGGTTGTATCGCAATCGAAATGACCTATTTACGGATAGTCTTGAAAATAACTCGCATAATTATCATGGCTATCTGCAAGTTAAAAAAATGTAAATGTTTCGAAAGTTGCGATTGACTTTCTTCCATAAGATTATGATCGACACAAAAGACGATTTTTCTCCTTCTTATAGGTTTCTAGGTACTATACTGAAGTAAGCATTATTATATCTACTACAGATAGCAGTTGACCTGAGTCAACTAAAAAAGACTTGATCTATGCATCCAATTAAGTTTTATTCATATCCCTAATTAATAGTTAAGTGAGTTACATAATGTAGTTTTAAAATCTTATCAACTATGAAAGTATTTTAATGTCTTTGTTTCAATAAAGCATTATTAACTGCCAGTTTATATTCTATTTACATGATATTATTTATAATCATAATTATCTAGACTAAACTCTTTTTTGGTAACGTTGCTTATTTGCATGATTTTAACACAATGAGTGTAACATACTATTTACGATAATCTTCTTGTCCTTTCTCATATAACATACCAAATTTACTAATGAAGCAGTTTCTAATTATTTAAATTAAAGAGAAATCTAATCCCTATAAATTGTAAGACTGATTTGTTTAGTTATGACACCTATGTGCATCACCTAGTATAATGATTAATGTAATGTAATATTTACAGATTTATAGCTTTAAAATCTGGTGCCAAGCTTATTTAAAACAACAGCTCTCTCAAATATTCCATTCACATGAGTGAGTTGACGTGTCTCAGCAAGTAATTAACATTTCTCCATCCTTATTGGGATTCAGGAAAATGTTTGGAACACCCATGCTATATATTTATCATTAACAAATACCTACTGCTCATTTTTAGACTATAGTTTTTCAGTTAAATTATTTAAATGGATGTAAGCAAAGATGGATGGTGGCTAGTAATGAAAGACAGGACACTCGTTTCGTCCTATTCAGTAGTCGTCAAATGGATATATCTGCATTTTGAAGTTAATGTGTACTCCGGGGCTCAAACACAGTACCGTTCCTTTCAAATGCCATTACGTTATCCAATAAGCTATTGAGCCATGATAGTCACTAACTTGTGCAATGGGGTGAACATCAACACTGGGATATAGGTTGATTCAGATGACGAGTCCCACACAGGACGAAACGCGCGTCATTTCACCACTAGGCACCATCTATCTTTGCTTATAATGCTTGTGATTTAAGGCAATATTGAAGCGATCCGCACGGGATGCTTATATGCCAATAATAGACTGATCGATTGTTATGATTCAGACAAACTATACGAAAATGAATTTGTATGGATGGCATGAATAACTTTGAAAGCAGAGTTTATAATAAAGAACATGAAGTGTTCAACATAATGTATTTCTGAGAACCAAATATTAATTTGATGATTACCAACTATCTATAAACTTCAAGGGTTCAGCATCAATATTGGTGATACATTAGTCGTTTTCTTGAGTACGCATTTATTTATTAAAACTAATTTAATGAACTACTCATAAGTGAAAAGTAGATCGACTAGGAATTTTATTAGTTAGTTGTTTAAGCATATGCAAAATTTAACATACAAATATGAATACATTTAATTTAGTTCATCATAACTCTTCCAATTAATTTATGGTAATGATAAATGTAAGTTGATATCTTGTGAAATACTAAATAGTCATTTGTAAAACTCTATCCTATCCAAAGTATGAAAGACAATATATTGGAGTCTAGTAGGTTTTCTTAGAGTATAGTGATGATTATTACAGAGTCTCAGATAACATTTCTGGACTCCTAATTAAAGATAGTCGGTTATACACTGAAATGAATATCATAGTAGAGAAAATTTAAATAAGGAGTTACGATATAATAGATGTGTTTCAATCCAGTTTTGAAATATTTATTTAATTGAATTTTTGATTGAAATCATGAAGTGACCAATGTTAGACCGCTATTGAAAACCTGGAAAGACTAAACGGCCGTTTCGTTCTAGTATGGGACTCCTTAGTAGTGCTCATCCACGATCCCGCATGTAGAATTCGGACCTTACATTCAAGTTGAGATTCTTCGTATAGTAAAACTCTTCGAGAATGTGAAATATCAGTTATCAAATTTACTAAACAAACGTCACTATATGATCCCTTTTCTGTACTAAAGTTAAGCACCACATACTAAACAAGATAGAATAGAACTTTGAAACGATTAATTTTAAATTGACTGTGTGACATGATTTCAGTCATATTTTTTATTCCTTTTCTTAATTTATAAACTACAAATAATTATTATTTCATATACTTTGATAAGAATACATTCCATTTAAAAAATTATTGTCGAATGATTTATTTGGGGATTATCTAATTTGTTAGGTAACTTTGAATGTGCCAGTAAAGATTAAACAGTGTCGTAGACAAATACAAATTCATTTTTATAAGAATGGGAAATTGTGATAACTAGTTTAAAGATAAAAATATGATTGTATCAGATAAAATTGATTTAGGTTAGCTTTTTTATTCCCACGTTTTTCAATTATTTTTATTTGGTTAAAGTTTGTTTTAGCTAGTCCTACTGTATGGTGTAGTAACTTGGAGAACTACTAAAGTTAACATCCAGAAGATATAAGTGTTTATTAACAGTTGTCTACACAAAATACTTCGGATCCGTTGACCAGACATTATCAACAAACCAGATTCCAGAGGAGGAAGAAATCAGGAAGAAGCGCTGGAAGTAAATAGGACACACATTGAGGAAAGCACAAAACTGCGTCACAAAGCAAGTTCTCACCTGGAACCCTCAAGGCGAAAGGAGGAGAGGAAGACCAAAGAACACATTACGTCGAGAAATCGTGACAGACATGAGAAGAATGAACAACAATTAGATCAAACTAGAAAGGAAAGCCCAGGACAGAGTGGGTCGGAGAATGCTAGTCAGAGGCTAATGCTCCGCTAGGAGTAACAAGCATAAGTAAGTAAGTAATGTTTTCCAATTATGTAGGCTAATCATCAACACTTATCTTTTAATTACTCCTACTGAGATTTGAAAACATGTAATCAGTAATCTCTTTAATTTTCATTCAATTATTAAACTTAAAAAGACTATTTTCTTTGATTAAATACTAGTTGTAATATCAGGAACTATTGTCTATAGTTCAATGAGTGATCTAAACTTATTCAAAGTACCTCCGTAAATCGAAGTATTATCGTCCGATTTTACAAAGTAATAATAATATAAATAGTATTATTATGAAATTATTCGTTTAAATCATTAATATCTTGAAGGTTCATTATCAATAAACGAATTAGTCTCAACGATTCTTATTTATTGTTTACCAATATTTGTAATCAAAAGCAATGTTTCTTTAAATCGAATTATCGACAAACTGATCTGTGTTTTCTTGTCAATTATTTTCTTAGAACTCTATCAAAATACATCGGTATTACTCTTCTGTTAGTGATTAACAATAACTGTAATACGATCTTTTTCTTTAAGTAGGGTCATAATATTGATCAGCCAAATGCTGGTTCTAT